AGTTTTAAATTTCTTTAATTCATGTGAAAAAAACTTTTTTCTTCTATTCACCAGTTCTAGTTTTTTGTGGTGAGATCTTTCCGACTGGCAGTCACTTGGAAATTATGATGCAGGTGCTATATTAAGGGTTCGACTATTCGCAGAAACAAATCAGTCTCCCAGTAATATTGATAGTACGACCCATCTGTATTTCTATTGTCGAAAGCAGGGCAAAATTTATCTGACTCGATAAGCTAGCGGAGTGAACCTAACCACAAGCAGTTAATCTCTCAGAGAAAAAAGAAGCGATAGAGATTAATGCAGCTGGATCTCCACCGTCTCAAGGATTTTATTTTTAATGAATTTTTACTTTCGTCGAGAAAATATATAATATTTTAATATTTCTTATTTAAATTCTTATTATATTCGATAGTGAAATAACCTTAAATCTACTTCAGCCACTCAGAAAAAATTAATTATTAATGATGTCATCATTCCTTTAGACAATTTTCAATAATAATGCAATAATTGACGCGAAAAATTATCTTATAAAGTACGATTATCGGAATATGCTTTATGCTTAATGCGCTATACTCAACAATTAAGTCAAATGAATCAAGAAATTCGACAAAATAAGCAGTAAATGTTGTCATCAAGAAGAAACTGCACATCTGGTGCTTTATCTTCCATACTGATAAAATCCAAATCATATCAAATTAAGTTTCGATATTTCAGTGGGAAATCTGACTGCAATTATTAAATTTATTCCAAATAACAAATTATTAAAATAAGAATTGATAAATCTCCAAAATTTTTCATTCAGCTTCCAATTAGCAAATATAAAAAAATTAAGAGTTGAAAAGATTAGCGAAGAAAAAAATGACACAACAAACAGAAAATTTTAACCGATTATCAAGCCGATTATCGTATAATCCTTGGACCTTTCTTCATTTAATTTGTTAATTTTCTTATAACGAAATTTCCAGACGAGAATTCTAAGAAAATTCTATAATACATAATTTGATAATAAAAAATTTTTATTATACAATTTAAAATAATCTGCCAGTGATTCGATTTTGCGTATGGAATATAGTTTTGATCGATCCAAAGGCCACAAAAATTAATGAAAATGGAATTTTGCATAAAAAGAAAAAGAAATAAAATGAATTACATATTCAGAAAATGAAAAAACAAAAAAAATGAAGGCATCAGAACGAGTGCTTCGTTATATCTTTTATAATTTTCAGTAGAAAAGTTTATTAAAAGTTTGTTACTATTTACGAAAAATTAATTTCCATGATTGACAATTTGTGGGCAACTAGCGAATAACCAAATTGATTGTATTTTACAAGCTAATATTCTTGAAATATCAAAAAATGTTTAAAAAATGTCAGACGGGGAACATTCATTGCAAATCATTGAATTTTAGCAGTTAAATTAAATTGAACATCATATTAGGTCCACATTTATTGCCAATTCGACGACATGTGGCATCAAAAACAACTTGTCCAAGATGACAGTTTGCAACGGAAATCGTTGAAAATGAAATTGGGAATCACTCATCTATAAATGGCTCTCTAAAGAAGTGATCTCAGTCTAGAAATCAGTGGTCTCAACAAAAAGTAAAAATAATGCGTGTGCAGTGAATTTAGTTATCACCAAAAAAATCTTTAAAAATCTTTACAAAAACCTTCGTTTTAAGGGAATCAATCCAATTTTCATTCTAAAAGTAAACGGAAATGTTTAATCGATTTCAAGTTATGACTGAATATTCGCAATCAAAGTTTGGTCCGAAATTGGATTAGAAAAGCAATAATTTGCATTCAGTCGTGAAAGTCAGTGTATGCATTATTATTTATAAATATTATTTTAAATATTTCCAGAAAAAAATTGTGTGATATATTTCTGCTATTCAATACAAAGCAATTCGTAATAAAGCAATTTAAAAGTGTGCCGATACACTGGATTAGGGGCATAAGCATGATGAGTTTGGTTTCTTTTCCTCGACAAAAGTAAACCTATCATATAAAGTGAAATCGGAGCAGTGTTCACTTTTATCTCTGTCATCTAGCCCACTCTACTCTACAAAATACTTTACAAAACGTGAAAACCTCGCTTGCCAAAGGAGTTGGCCAAAAAAGCAACGGTTATAGCTATTGTAAGAAAAAGCAGAAGTTATCAGCTTGTGGATGTTAATATCAGAAATTTTTTAAAAGCGAGTCATCTTATGGGAAGACATTAAATAAAAATTGTATATTTGATAGGCCTCATTTATTTTCCTTTCATATTAAGCCAAGTAATGCTGAAGATTTTTGATAATATAAAATTTTCAATAGAAGGTTATGAAATGTTATAAAGCAGAAATACGAGGGATTCTATTAAGAAATACGATGGCGATCTATATGCACTCCTTGTTGTCTTGGTAAAAATTTCTAATTCCACTGGCTACCACCCGAACAACCAGCTAGCCTAATAACGATGAGAGCTTAATAACTTATGAAAAATAAATAAATAAATTTTAACATAAGCAATGGCAACAACTGAATTATTGTGGTTATTCTAATTATATATATAAATATATATCTGAATGTATGGTTAATTTGAATGTGAACAAAACAATCAAAAAGTCAGAGAGTAATTATTCAAAATAAAGATATTATTCGCGATATTCTTAGTTGCTAAATTAATTAATTCGAATGAATTGCTCAATAAAATCAAGAAAAGACAATATATTATACATCTATGTTTAGAGATTTCGCACCGTTTAAGTTGCATCTCAAATTATCGAAGATTTTATCGAAAGCTTAAGCTTATGGATTACTTATTTCAAGAAAACTTATCTCATTGCAATAAAAGAAATTTAAAATATTCAGAGAAATCATTCGCCTATTATAGATTTTTATTCCCATCGTTTCATATGAAGTTGTAGATTTTAAAATTTGGTGAACATATATACAAATTAAAATAGCAATCACAGTGGAAAAATATTTTCAAGAATATTATTTTCAAGAAATAAGGAAAAGCATTCTTTTGCTGATTTAGCCATATATTTTTGTTTTGAGACTTTTTTAATTTTTTTATTTTGATTTTTGAGATTTCTCCCTTCTTCATCTCGAGATTATCCAGCAATATGGCCTTTAGATTTGCTAGAATCAGGGTTGAGGAAAGATGGAAAAAACGAAAAATATTTTTTCAACATCATGTTAAATTTTTCAAATGAATAATATTTATTATAAATAACAAATATCAGAAATATATATATATATATACATATAAGCTTAAGCTTATGGATTACTTATTTCAAGAAAACTTATTGCAATAAAAGAAATTTCAAATATTCAGAGAAATCATTTATATATATATATATAAATATTCCAAAATTTATACTTAAAAAAGGTTGTATAAATAAAAAAATGAATAAATTTTCAAAATCTTTTCGTCTTGTAAGATTTGATTAAGTAAGAAAAATAAGTGGCAAACGCATACCATTTTTTGTAGGGTTCCCTCCTCTGGTTATTGGGACGATGAGAAATGTTTGCCACTTAGCCACTTTGGGTTAAATATACAAATGGATAAATCGATTTAGATTTTTAATGAAAAATTTATTTTCATTCGTTTATTCTTCTCCTATAAGATCAGATTAAAATAGATTTCACCATGGGTCATTTATTATTAATCATGAATCATGAAAACACGATTGGTTGACCTGTAACGCCGCTTACAGATCATCCCTTATTTTACTGGAACTTATTAAGCGATTAGCACTCACTATTTCTAAATAATCTTGTTTCACTGGGATTAATGAGATCAAAAATTTTTCCTAAGGAGTTATATAGTAGATAGAGGAAGGTTACCAGTATTTGCTGGAATTTTTAATGGTTTATTCCTGTCAGAAAGAGTTAAATTTTCAGCTTTCAGCACTATGTTTTTAACATTATTTATTCAGTTACCTCGCCCACTTGAATAAAACTGCTATGCAAAAAAGCAGATCATCTTGAATGCTTCAATAGAAACTGGTTGAATAAGAAAACAAGAAAAATGAAACATGAATTTGAATTTCTTATTGGTAAAATGCAAAAATCTTATGGAAATATTGGATCGAAAGTTTAGAAAAAAAGACTGAGCTGAACGAGGATATGATAATGATTTATTTGTCAGTTGATTTTTGAATTCTCGCGTATTTCAACAAATTTATTCGTTAACAAACGTATGAATCTTTCATCAATATCAACAAGAACTCGATTGGCGTTATCGAGTTATTGAGAAGAATCTCTGAGCCACACGCAGAGGAGCGCTCAGATCATCGTCATCGTGATTTGCTAAATGTGTGTAGTTGATTTTTAAAAGTAGCAGCTGTTCAGTTGTTGTTCTTTATTTTTCAGTTAAGCACAGAGATAACTAGGCAATTTTTGATTAAATTCTAAAAGTTTTGTTTATGCAAATTTCTAAAAGGTTTTGTTTATGCAAATTTAATCTCTTCATAATTCAATCGTTCTGTTGCTATTTCTTTTTTTATTACAAAAAGCCAAGTAGAACGTGTGTTTTTAACAAGAAAAGTTGAAAAATTGAATAGTCTTTTGCTCTATGTTCCGCGATATTTGGTACCAAAGCTTATATATAATTGGGCAAATAATCTTTCATGCTTTCGTCATTGTTTTTGCGAGAAAATTTGGCAGAAAAAAATAATTGGAATCGCGAATAATCGTTTACCAATATTTTTTTATCTACTTTATTATATGTACAAACTTATTTATATTAAATTCATTACATTAAATGTAAATACATGAATTTATCGCAATCGAATCGAATTAAGTGTGAAGCTTTCTTAAAACTTCGATTGGATTATTTATACGATTCAAAAATCGACGATTCAACAGAGTCAACAAAAAATGGGCAACATAATTACAATAATCGTAGCTAATCGTAAACAAAGAGGTGTTCAAATGCTGATTGGAGAATTATGTTGATAGAACTTTATCGAACACCGGGTTCTTTTGGCATCTATTTATAATGATTTATACTTAGTCTGATCTATTATAGCATCCTTCATTCAAAGTTTTATCTGGTACAATCCGTATTTTGGAACGATAATTTGTCATATTAGACTGATTGACGGAAGTCGTGACGTTTGGTATTGGTAATGTGAGTTTAGTATTTGGAGCGGAAACCATCCAGTAGGATGCAAGCGGATCATTGTAATCCCATGGCGTTTCATATCTGTAAATTTTTCATGTCGTTCGAACGCAAATTCGTCCAGTCAGAAATGAAAATGACTTCACGAAGACATTAAACCAGACAGCCATGATTTAATCTGGCTAACTCTGATTGAAATCGAATTTGGCTAAAAACTTTGTAGTGATGAAGCAACTTTAAAATAATTTTACGTGTTATAAATTTTTAAAAAAGCGATTAAATCTGCTTCTTCTTTTCATCAAACATACTACGTATAATTCTTTTTTGAAGAAAAGGATTTGGGCCACTAAAACGCTTTGCATAAATTTTCTTATTAATTTTAATAAGAATCAATGGTTCTAAAGAATTTCTTGCAGCGTTATAACAATCGTCAGCTCATTTCCTTCTTTTTTAATTAAAAAGCATTTTAGCCAAAGAAGCCTAACTATAAAACCGTCCAGATATGATAAGCCATGTTAATGCGTTTTTTTTTTAATCTTCTTAATTTTTTAGGGAAATATCTAAAAATTTAAATTTAAATTTGCAATATATCATTTAAAACTTTTGTTAAACTTTCTTTGCTGGATTTTAGGATAACAAATGTATTTTATTTGTACAAATTATCATAGAGTGGTTTTGTTAGAGTATTTTAGTTTTAATTCTCCGAGTTTGTTTCCAAGATATGAAGAAACTAACTTATTTATCTTATTTTTTTTAACTTACTTGCTTTCCGCTGTAGAATTCAACAAAGAATTACACCTCGTCTGATTATTCAGAATAACTGAATGCTGATTTGGTGTAGATTTTTTCACTAGTAAAGGAAAGAGTGCTTTTCTTTGGCGTAAATATGCGATCAGAACACAAGAGAATCCTGTTGAACTTATTATAGTAATAAATATAAGAGCTATGATACTTGCACTCAAAAGACTGTCGTGGTTCATTATTTGGTAGAAGAAACTTCCTTGGTATTCCATCTCGGATGCCTAGAATCATTTTTTAGCTTAAGAAAGCATATTTTCTTCGTAATTTTTGCCATTTAATCTATTCATGAAAATAAAAAATTTAAAAAAACAGATTGTAAGAGTACAGTGTTTTATGAATTATTTTTCTTACTTATAATATATTACAATATAGTTCGCCATTTCTAGTTTAGCTTATCATATTGGCAACAAGAATGGAATTCTTCTAGGGGGAATTATTTAAGGACGGAAGCACAAACCAAGTACTAATACCATCTGGATTAGATCTTCAATAACAATTTAAATAATAAGAAAAAAACCTTGTTGAAGCAAAACACCGCTATAGTTACATTCTCTCGCATTCTGCCAATTAGCGGATTTTTTTTCTAATTATTTAATAAATTAATCTGTTGATAGAGATTGGATTTACCTGTCGAACGACAGCAAATTCGCTAGGATCTGAACACCATGGACACAATCGTTCATGTTTTTGAATAGCCAGTGTTGTATTAAAGCATTTTCCTTTCAATTCAACAACCATTTTCCCTTCAGCCACTGGTGATGTTGAAATTGGTGGACGATTTTCGTCCGATTCTTTATTTAATATCTGCAAATTTGAGATTTATTCTTTGCCAAAAGATTCGCAGAACTCTAAAAATTCTATTTTCCATTAAATTTTCTAATTAATTTAAAAAAAATTTTCATTAAATTTCCAACTTAATTCTCCAATTTTTTTTAGTCCAATTACATTATCACAAATTTCCATTCAAATATAAAATGATTTTAAAAAACTTTTAATTTTCCACGTTAAAACACAAGAACCGAAAATTCCTCAAACTGCAAAAAATGGTACATTTTTTCTTAACTTCTTATGAAATCTATTGTGCAGGCAAAAAGAAAAGTAAAAATGAATATAACTAGTTGGCATTCATTAAATTACAATAACCAAACTTAAGTTTTGCCTCATTATGAAAAATTCGAGAAGTTCGAGTGAAATCACAGGTACGTGAAAATCCATACAAAGGATCAACACCTGACACATCGCATCGAAATATTACATCACTTGGTGAACCACTACTCCAAAAGCTAACGAATGATGCTACATTCTCCTGAAATGCAACTTTTAAAAGTTTATTAATATCAAACGATGCATTTTGGCGAATTATATACCGGTTCATTTAATTTTGATTTTGATTCAATGATTTAGAAGTTCAATTTATGAAAGAAAATTAAAAATTTATTCTATAACTTACGAGATTGTGATTGCGGTTAACGGGCCAACTTGCAGAAACCCGTTCAGTATTTATTAAATCCCATTCAGAAATTTTGAACCAAGATTCTGTGCAACCCAGCGCATTCAAACAACCTTCTTTCCATTCAATTGCCATTATATCGACTGATAACCAGAATTGTGATGCTGAACATTCCAGTAGGAAATTGATCAAAATATTTAGTATTATTAAAATCTTTAACATGACAAGGGTATCTGAAATAATAAAAAAAAAATCGTGATATGAAATTTGCTGATAAGCAATTTTTGTAGTAATAACAATTTTTCGTTCTTCATACGAGAAAGAATTTTATATCCTCTTCGATTGCTCTAAGAGCGATGGGAAATTTATTTTTGTAGAACGGTTCTTGCAAATTTCATTTTTCTTATCATAAATATAACGTGAATATAAAGGTGGTGGACCTATAATTATAACCATATTTCTGCATCCAAAATTGCTCTCTAATAAACGAGTCATTCTAGTAACCAGTGAATCTGAAGCAAAACGAATGAAATGGGTCAGCTTAACTCAATAAAAAACACAAATTTAGATTATGGAGAAGTACAAATGCATAAAATACATAACCAAAAATCTAAACGGAATATCAACTCTTAAAACTGCAGATGAAATATTTTAAAAAATTATAAGATGAACTGTTTTACCAAAGAAGTTAGAAATAAAGAAAGAAGAAATCAACATTATAAAAAAAGAAGCATTATATAAAAAAAATCTCGACACTCACTACGAAATTCTTTGATTTTTAAGGTTTTGGGTTAAAATAAAATCCTTTAATCCTTCATCAATTTTAAATGTCACTGAAAGGTTATCTATTTCAAGTAAATAGTGCCTTAAGATTCTTTTAATGATTCTTTGGCTTCGATCAAATTTTTTTTTTGCTAACTGAAATTTTTATGAACCAAAACTTCATTTCCAAAATTTCGATAAAAAATAATTGCCAGTTGAAAAATTTTTTTTATTTTGCCTTATCTTTCAATCATTGATCAAATGATGGTATATCAATGACAAATATATCAATTCTTTAATTTAAATTGAATTGAGAACGAATTTCCAAAAATCCAAACATTATACTATTTTGGGAAAGTTGGTAGTCCATAAAATAAAGCCATTATTTATCTTTTATTTTATTTCGATTTCTGCTTCTTAACAGCGGTAGATCTGAAGTCATTAGAAATGAATCATTACTGAGAACCTACTAAACCCTATCCTTATCAGTAGAGCCAAACCAAAAATGGTGAATACTGTTATGTGACGATAAATATGCAAGAAAATATTAACATATATATATATATGTATATGCATATGTATCATTTGTTTGTAATCGTTTAACAAGAAAGAAAAATGAAAAGGCAAAAAAATTGTTAAGACACATCTAAAAATTAATTCATTAATATTAAAAGGCGAATTGAAACTGCCAAATGCGAAGAAATGCATAAATGCATAAAAAGTAATCATTTCGAATTTTTCACTCGTATTCATGAATCAAATATTAGAGTTGAATTAATAAAATTAATATTATGAAAAATCATTGAATTCAAATGTTCGTAAATGTTTATAATAATTTGCATTTTAATGCAAATATATTGATCGATGTAAAATGAGTTCGAATTTTTACCTTTAATTCTAAATTTTTGTCGCAAAATTTAAAATTTAATTTCTAAATTTTTCAATTCTATTTTCAAGAATCTTTAGAAAATATGAATTAAAGGTTGCAAATAAGTGAAAATAAGTGGTTTGTACTTAGCATATTCACCATTTTTGATCGATTCCGCGATATTAAAAACTTTCGTCTAGTAGTAATTTAACGATGTGTAGGTGAGCCGTAAGCAATATCCGGGCTTTAAATTTCACTTCTGTCGAGTGCGAAAACTGAAGTGTTCCCTCTTAACACGATATTTAACACACTATCCACTCGGGTACTCCTTATAGGTTGATCAATACTTTGAGGAAAGGACTAATAATTTTTTTAATTCTAAGAAATTGCGTAAAAAATGAACATGCATTTAAAAATAGACACGAAATAAGATGTATATGTTGAATAAGCCAAGAGGATTGAAATGGTTTTGAGGGCCGGAAGCCAAATTTCAACGCACTTCTGGCTAATCAGAGAAGTATAAATGATGATTATTAATGATAAACTAAATGAAAAAGTAAGCAAATTAATATATCCAATAAAATTTGATAATTTAAAATCATAATCAAATTTTCATGTTAAATTATCGCTTTTGTATTTTTCTTATAATTTATAATTTAATTTACAATTTATTCACAATTTGTTGTAAAATGATTGAATAAATGATTAAAAAAACATATACCATAAAAATGTATCTAGAACATATACCAACTGTTAAGGTAGATTATTTTTCATATATTTTTCATATTTTTCCAACTTAGTGAAGAGATGTTCTGTGGATGAAGAAGGAATTAAATTTGCTAGCTATATTAACGATATGCTTTTTTGCCGTCGCAAAAAAATCTGAGATTTGAACAAAAAATTTAAACAAAAACAAAAATATTTTTATTCTTAGTTACAATATTTAATTACAATATTTGAGTCTTGAAATTCTCAGAAATAAAATAAACTCTGAAGCGAGGCTTTTTCCCAAATATGCAAGCATAAAACATGGATTCGATTCCCATAATTTGAAAAAAAATTAAATTGCCACTTAAAATTCTCTAGACTGTGATGCTGCTATTCTCCTATATTTCTATCTCTAAACCTGCTGACTCTTTAGTGATAAAAAGTAATAAAAATGATAAAATTCTTTTTTTCTAAGAGCCTCACTATTGCTCGTCCTGATGACCTATCAGATTAAAATGAATATATTTTGCCAGCAGAATCATAGAAATGCAAGTGAATCGCCAGCATCACCGGGTTTTCTGAAAGACCGGGAAGATTTATTCCTGATCGCCGACCTAAGGATAGCTTTAAACTGAGAAACTCATTGAGCACTCTATCCCTTTCACTTTCGTCATTCTGCGATATTGCCACCAGAAGTTTGCTGTGCAGGCCAGATTCGATCCCGTGTCATTCTCAGCTTAGGTTATCATTATCGGCAATTATCTTATCCACTGGCGCGCCACAAGTTATGCTTAGGCTATCATTATCTGCCTCTTATCCATCAATAATCCCCATAATTTTTATTTCAGCACCTTCATTACGAAATAATAGCTATAACAAAAATAATGTGAGATGGTTCTATGAGCTTTTGAGATGAAATGTAAGTGGTGTTACTATTACCGCCCATAGAACCAGTCTTACAGTCATCATAAGTAGTTTGCATCATTAAATAAAATAAACTAAAATAACAACTAATAAATTTGCAAAAGCCTCAGTTGAAAATGTTCAAATTATCGGAAAGAACAATTTTATGAAAAATTTAATATATATAACAATCATAACCACTGTAACATCCAATATCTGATTTTAATGAAAATTCTTTTGTTTTGAAAACACAAAAAGAAGTGAAATGAAAAATGAAATTCGCTGTTTAAAATTCTGAGGTTCTTCTTAAATTTTCGCTGAAAATGATTTTCCAAGAAGTCAAGTTTAAATTTAAAATTTCGACAAGAAAATTTAGGAATAAACTTAAATTTCAGAAAATTTTCGAGAAAATTACTTTTTTTGCCTAAACATTTTATTTTACGAGTATTTCACCTAGTTCTACTTGTACTACTCTTGAAAAAATTCTTTGCAAACACTTCAATCTCTTAAGAAAAATTTTGTTGTAATTTATTTATTTTTCATTGCTAATTGGCGCTTTAAATTGACTATACTTCTGAAATGATTAAATTTTATCTAAATTTTAATCTGACTCTCTGACGAAAGTGAATAGTTAGTGGAACATTGAATAACAACATTTTATTGTCAGTTTAAGTTGATTAAAAAATATTAAGGTAGCCATTTAAAAAAGAGAATTTCCTTTTAGCTGAAAAAATTTAAAAATTTTGGCCTAGAATAAAACCACTGATAGACCAAAAAAATGCAAGATAGGCTGGGATTAACAGCAGATCAGCACTTAAAATAGCCTCACTGATATCATGTTTATCACGTTTTTATCAATCATTTAAGCTTGTTTGACCATAAGAATTCATTATCTCGACAAGCAGGATTTTTGCGGCCCTTGTCAGATGAGCTCTCCTAAGTTTTTAACTTTTAATGTTATTTGTGAATATTAATCTTTTTTTATTTGGTATCTTTGACTTCCTAATTAAAATATCGAAATTTCTGTAAGTACAGGCGCAAGCCCAGTAGTATGCAAGTTTTTTGATAATGATGATAATTTTTTTGATGATAATGAGAATTTTCACTGTTGTAGGAATCAGGAGACGATTTCTTGCTTATCCAGTTTGCTACCCTGTAAACCAACTGTATTTCCATCCTTAATGATAAAAAAATATCAATTTAAGATTTCAATTGTTTATTTCGATTAATCAATTAATTCTAAGTTATTTCCAGAATTTATTTTTCTCCATATGAAGAATTTCTAAAAGAATTGAAGTGATTATATTAAATTATAGTTATAAATTCCCTAGTAAGAAAAAATAAAGACTAATCATTTAAAAATATTGGTTAACAGATTGCAACTACAATTTGTTATCCCTTGGGAGTTTACCGAAGTCTGATTCTGATTGATTCTTTCAAACAATTGCGACAAACAATTCTAGATTTCCACTGTTTTATAGTATTGCATGTGCAAAAACTCGAATGAACTAGGTTTCTAGGAAATATTTTATTGCAATATTTAAAAATCAAAAAATTACCATATACTGTAAACTTAGAAAGACAATAAAAAATAAGGAAAATCAAATCTGAGGATTGAGAGATTTGAAAACGATGGATGACAAAAATGCATTTTTCGCTCCACCAATCTAAGCGTAAATCAGTTTCTATATATATGTACAATTAAATGACTTAGCGAAAAATTATTGGCCGACAAAGAAATAATACGGTAAAACAGTTGGAGCAATGGTAGCAAGTCGTTAAAGTTTGCTGCAAGTTATCGCTGAGAAGTAATTGAGTCATTCTCCATTCAGTTATAAAAAAAAAGATTGCATTTTTTCGTTTTTTTGACGAAATTTTTAATATACAATAAATTTAAAAAAAAATTATTGAAACGAAGAGG